GAAAGCCCACCCCCCCCTTTAATCCCCCCCCCAAAGGGGTTTTGGAGGGGGGGCCCCTTTTTTTCAATGGGGAGAAAGGGAGTCCCCCCCCAAGGGGTTTTTTCCCGAATTTTGCCCCCCCCCGGGGGGGAAAGGGGGGGGGTTTCCCCCCTTTTTCCCCAAAAACAAAAGCGGCGGGGTGGGGGGGTCTCCCCCCCCCCGGGCCCCCCGGGGGGGTTTCCCCTTTCCCCCCCCCCCCCCCCCCCGCCGCCGATTAGCAATCAACCACCTCCTTCTCGTTTGTTTCGTTGTTTTTTTTCAGGATACAAAAGCTGGGCATGAGGCTGGTGTGGAAGTTCCTGAACGACCGCGAGGGGTGGAAGTTTCGCCGAGGCCGGGGGCTGGAGCCTTCTTTCCTCTACTACCAGACGGACCGGCCTATGGTGACGTTCCCCAACCAGGGGGAGGTGAGGGCGTCGACTGGCTGCTTCTTTGTTTGCTCCTAGACGCGCGCGCAGTAGGTGGCAAGATGCATCAAGGTTGCTTGCTCTCGGCACCGTCCGTTTGTTGGCTTGGACGTAGTTGGCACTGCTGTACGTCCACCGGTGGACTGGTGTCTGGCGGACGATGCGAGCGATAAGATTTGTGGTCGTTCGGCGTTTTGCGAGTTTTTTGTGGTTGGTGCCTTAAGAATTTGTTTGTTTGGTGGGTTCCAAACATAAAAGATTTCTCTCTCCGTTCGCGTCTCTGTCCTCTTCGGCTGTCTCTGGATGTCCCTCTCTCCCTGTCCTTCTCTGACTCTGTCTCTTTGGCACCCTCCCTCTGTCTCTCTCCCTCTCTCACACACACACACTTTTTCTCTCCATCTGCCGTCTCTGCTTGTTGCTGTATCTTTGCCTCTCTCTCCGTCGTTCTCTCTCTCTCTCTCTCTCTCTCTCTCTCTCTCTCTGCCCCACTTTACCCCTCTCTCCGTCTCTCTTTGTCTCTCTGTCTCTCTCTGCCTCTCTCTGCCTCTCTCTCTCTCTCTCTGCCTCACTTTACCCCCCTCTCTGTCTGTCTTTCTCACTATCTCTCTCTGTCTGTCTCTCTCTGCCTCTCTCTCTGTCTGTCTGTCTCTCTCTCTGTTGTACCTCCCTCCCCCTCCCTCTTGCGGGGTGCACCTCTCGTGGCTGGTTCCTACAGCTGATCACCATCGTCGAGAACGACCCCCGGCTCCGCAAGGACTGCTTCGCCTACTACTTCGAGCAACACCCGAATGCCCTCAAGCCCAAGACAAAGAAGAGGAGGACCGCGACCAGCACCAAAAAAGCCTCCACGGCAACATCAAGCGGGAGCGGCGGCGGCGGTGGCGGCGGTAGTAGCAACGGCGGTGCTGCTGGCTCGGCTTTGTCGACGCGGGGGTGGCTGGCTGGTACGCAAAAGAGAGAGAAAGAGGAGGAGAGGGAGAGCGACGAGGACGAGGGGGTGCAGGACAACGCGGCACTATCATCTTCGATACCCAACCGGCGAGGCAAAGGCAAGCAGAAGGCGGCGGCGGCGGCGGCGACTGCGGCGAAGAAGAAGAAAACGGTATCGTTCACCTCCAAGGCGACGCCAACAGCACCTGCAGCGGCAGGAGGAGGGGCGGCAACGGGGCGCGGAAAGGGGCGTCCCGCTCCCGCCGCCGGTGGGAGGGGGAGGGCACGCGCCAAGGAAGCAGAGGAGGAGGAGGGCGGGGTCGACGACGACGAGACGGAGTTCGTCGCGCCCCCGCACATCCCTGGCGTAGCCGGGAGAGGGAGAGTGTGCACCGTTTGCCTGGGTCCGGGCGGAGGGAAGAAGGGTGGAGGCGAGGCTTTGCTGGAGTGTCGAGGGTGAGTGGTGGGTGGGTGCGAGGGGTGGTGGCGGTGGTGGTGAGTGTTGGAGGTCGGAGTCTGTTGGAGCAGACGGCGGTGTAGTGGCGTACGCCGCAACGACTGCCGTTTCTATTTCATCTGTGGTGAGGATGCTTCAAAGGGGCTTTGGGCGAATCAGACCCCCGCCCCCTTCTGAGGAGTCTCTAACACCGTCTCGCACTCCTTAGCGCAGCTTGACGGACGCCTTCTTTTGCCTGCATTTGCCACAGAGGCTTATAGTCGTGAAGACAACGCAAGGTTGGTTGTGGTGTGCTGGAGGCGTGGCGTTGAGGTTCTCGCGCGTCTCTCCCAGCCGTATCGTAACTTCACTTCCATTCTGCTTCAGGACCTCGCTGGCTACTTTTTGGCGGTGGCAGGGGTGGCCGTATCCTTCGTACCCCCCCGTTGGCCGATGGTGTGAGTTTCGACTATTTTCAGTTTTTTTTTTTGCGTGTAATGCTGCCCACCCCCCCCCCCTACGACCCAAACTCGATCGTTCAAGTGCCACATGCCATCATCATGACCCTGCCGCCCTTGCTTTTTTTTTGCTCCTGTGCCGATGCGTGCCCCGCCCCTGAATATATAAACGCCATCACATTAGTTCCAACCGCACCTGCAAGACGCTGGTACACAAGAACTGCTACCCCGTGGCCGTGAAAACCATCGACGGCCGCAGCGGCATGTTCGTGTGCAACGCGTGCGAGAGGGACAAGTCGTCCGGCGGGGTCCGCCCCGAGGAGCGCGGGTGAGCGAACGAACGTTTGGGGTCCTCGTTTTTTGTTGGTTCGCCGTTTCGTTTTGTTTTTTTCGAAGAAACCCCGTGAGTACATACATGTGTTTGGGTGCGGCACCTTCGTCAGAGGCCAAAAGAGAAGGAAGGGCGGCTCAAGACCTCATTGCTCTTATAGAGTGATAGTCGTGAGGCAGGCAACAATCGCCATGTAGCATGTCCATCAACACATATCGTCCGCGTACCCCCCCCCCGGAGGCCCCGTAGTCAGTATTCTCTGCCGAGCACCCCAAGCACCATGTACAATCGCAGAAACACCCGTGTACCCGGATCAAGAGAGCGAACGAAATTTTTGGGGTCCTCTTTTGGCTCTGTCTCGTTTTCTTTCTTAAATCATGAAAAACAATTGCAGAAAGACCTGTGTACCCGCGGGGTGTGGGCGAGCGAACTGCTGGGGCCTTTTGTTAGGCTCCCCGTTTTCGTTGCTTTCGAGAAAACTCATACGAGTACATACAATCGTACCCGCCGCCGCAGCACTGAAATCGATGGCCTGTTGTAACGAATGATCAACGCCACATACGCCTTGTCATCGTGATCGCTGTTAACATTTTGCAGGTGCGTCATCTGCCGCCAGACCCAAGGGGTGGAGGCGTACGCCATGGTGCCGACGAAGGAGGGAGGCTTCGTGCACTTCCTCTGCTTCAAGAAGGTCGTCCCCGATGCCGAGAGCCACTGGAAGTTCGAAAACGGTGAGAAAGAACAAACGTATTTTGCTGCTTACGTCGATTCGGGGCAGGGGGCTCCTCATGTTTTGCATGCCTTGGTTGTTGGACCATTGACCACACGATAGGTTTGGGGTGGGGGGGGGATCTCGTGAGTTCTTTCGTGGTCGTAGATTGTCCATTTTTGATTGGACCGGTCTGTTGGCGTGCGTTTTTGGTCGGCCTGCTGGTCTCTTCGTCCTTGCCCTGCCTCTGAAGGTCCGTTTTTGATTGGGCCTGTCTGTTGGCACGAATTTTTGGTCTCTCTGCTGATTGGTCTATTTTCCGGTGGTCCACCTGGTCTGTCTGTTTGTCTCTCTCTCTCTCTCTCTCTCTCTCTCTCTCTCTCTCTCTCTGATTTCGAATCAACGCCTCCCTGTTTTTTTTTCCCGCTCTCGCCGAAAGTAGGCAAGTACGTTCCTCCGCCCGGCGTGCCTGAGGCCCTCGCTCGCGCCAAGGCCAAGAGGCGGTGCAGCGAGTGCAAGCGCACGGGCGGGGTGGTGAAGACCTGCGAGCGCCAGGACTGTCGGACAAGGTACGTACGTACGTGCACATCGATGAAGCAAGCGGTACAACTGTAAAAAAGAAAGCATCTTGCTCGATGCTTTGCTCTTTTTGGGTAACGAGAGTTGTTGGTCAGACTCCGGTCTGTGCAAACAAGTTGGCGTTATTTTTCGGGAGGGGTTGGGGAGGGGGGGGGGGTGTACTCATAGTCGTGCATTTGGTTGGGGAGGGGGGGGGGCCTTCCCAGGAAAATATTTTATTTTTCCTGAAGCGTAAAAACCC